ACAGTAAATCAACGAGAAATTAAAAAAATGACAATATATAAAATTGAGAATGGAAACCGGGAATGTGTCAAAGAGACGATTTGAGAAATTTTTTTATTTACCAAGGAGAAAGAGGCTTCATCTGAATGAAATTCGACCCTTGAGGAACACAACGGGTACCCATAAGAAAACCTGCTTGTACCGATTTCTTAGTATCAGGTTTTCTGTATATATTTAAACTGTATAATATCAGCTGCGAGAAAATATGTGATTTTTTTGGTCGGGTGAGCGCAGGGGAAGACTGCATGGTTGATAAATTGTGACCAAAGCATAGGCAGACCAACCCTAGTTGAAGACAATATTTATTTACATATTTCTTTTTTAAAAAGAAAGATGGGCACATAGTACAGGAATAATAGAAAATCTTGTGGCTACATTAGTCATCGGAGAAAAAACGTTATGTGACCGTGTTAACAAAATCAGCTTTCGAACCCCAAAAACCCAAACAAAAGATCAGCATTTGTTAAAGAATTCCGAAGTTGACGTAACAGCAAACGAGTTTCGTGAGTCTTTTTCAAAAATGTCTTCTCACTTCTGTTAGGCTGTTAGACAAACCTAAAAACCATTTTTACAATATTTTGTTAATTGTTCCGTGAATACAGGAATCATTGTTCACAACAAGTGAAAACAGATACTGGTATTAGCCTTAAAGTTTTCAAAAAGAATTTTGAAGACATGAATTTGTCTATTTACCACCCAAAGAAAGACCAGTGCGATATTTGTTGTGCATTTGAGAAAAAGAATATTTCTGAATAAGAATTCCAAGCACATTAGGAAAGAAAAGAGTTAGCATGAGCAGAAAAAAACAAGAAAAAAGACAAAATTCTGCAATGTACAAACATTAAAGTTGTTACATTAGGTGTTGTTTGTTCTCCTTCAAATGCCCATAGTAAAGCTCCTCTTAGACTTTCGTCTAGATTCTTTAGCTGCTTAACCTTAACCTTCATATAAATGATAGACACATTGAATGGGAATAGCATTTTGGTTCGGTTGGCTTTTAAATGTACATGTAAGTATGCGATTCATCAAAAAAAATAAAAGATGTTTCTATATTGTGGAAAAAAAGAAACGCTAATTTTGATTGAATAATGATTTGGTATAACTAGATAATCTTGGGTAATAACCACTGTTGTTTTTCAACCACGATTCTGTGCCAATATCTATGGTGGCCACATCAGTATAAACAGAAGGTAGAAGTGTTTTTATATCATATATAGGTCCTCGGTCTTTGAGTTCTAATCGTTTCGTATACTAGTTCGAATAGTAACTTAAATAGCAAAAGAGAATCATACCTTTAGAAATTTTTAAAACACTAACTTAATGGTTTTGACTCCCTCAGGCAAAGTTTACCTTAGATGAAATTGACGATTCTGTTTAGGTACGTACCGGTCCTTTTTGGTCATATAGCTCTACGTATTTGCACATCCCTGGCTTTCAAATGTTCAGGTTTGAGCATTCCTGTGTATATTTCATTTTCAATATACACGCACACACACATTCTAAATACAAGTTCTATTTACAGATTTAGCATGCATGATTGTAATTCTTAGGTACATGTATGCGAGACAGCATCTAGACGAAGCTTTATTACAATTTGTATTTTCCTCAGCGATTCACATTCTCTGAAATGTGTGCACTTTTACTTATACCGAAGTGACTTATCACCTTCGTTGACTACCATAAATGTTGCATTTATAAGAAGCATGCTATACGTTCCGTTCTTGCATTTCCTGCTTTTAGATAAGAGTTCGTATTGTTCTTATGTTTAGCTTTAAGGCTTCACTGGTTTTTTCTTGTATAGGTCCTTCTACCCTTTGTCTGTTCATTTGTATCAACGTCCTTTATTTGTCTTACTTAAATAGTGTAAGCTGGATTCGATTCATTCCCTTTTAACATAAATGATTTGCTACAGTATCCAGTGATTCAGTATTTCTATGTTGTAAGTTTTCAGTTTTTACATTATGAAAATGTGTCAAAAGTATAAGTTTGTCATTGTCCTCAGACAAAATTGGTTTTAAACCATTTTTCTGCTTTTCTGTTTCGACCCTGTTGTGGTTGTATCCTAGTAAACCGAATTAGACTTATCACCGGGTTTTTACAACATGGTCAACACGACGACTGCCACTTGTACCTCATGATCTGTTCACCCTTCCGGAGCACCTGTGATCACCACCAGTTTTATGGTAGAGTTCGTGTTGCTTAGTCTTTAGGTTTCTATGTTGTGTTATTTAGACATTACTGTCCTATAACGGAAAATTAACAATTTGGAACGAAAAATATTCCCTTTTGTCGTAAAATTTGTGTAGAGTTTCCCGCGTAAAACTGAAATATCTAAATCTAGGACAGGACAGTTATAATTGCTGTTTATATTCGATTTGAATAAAGCAAGTTCCTTTCAGGGTAAATTTCGGCAGCACATTTAGAGAATGCTTGATAAACTGTATTGCCAAAACTTGCATAGACGTTGGCAACGAGAAAATTTACAGCTTTAATCATTTCATTACAGCTCCAGTAAATAAGTATATCTAGCAAATTTGACTGACAGAAGAAGTCTTTATATGAGTTCCCGCTAATTTCAAACGACCATTCTATTAAAAAGGAAAACTTTTGTTCGATTAGATTATGTAGAGGTGTAGTTGAAAGAGTCGAAAGGTCTAAACTTTCCAAAAATGTTTGGAAAGTGACTTACAAATCGTGTTCGCTATTCCTCTTGACGACCTGTTTCATGGAATTACGGATCCCTTGCGTCTTCCGAATTCATTTGAAGTCCCGACACAGGTTTCTTCGTAAAAAAAGAAATAGTGCATGGTTGTTTAAAAGGTCCTTTATCAAATATCACACTTTAATTCATTGTTTCGGGAATAACAAATGCAAAATAAAGGAAAGCATTTTTTTTCAAAACATTTAATTTTTGTTTGTTTGTTTGAAAAATATAATCTGACTGAAAAAAATACGAATTAGTCTTATATTTTAAACTAGAAATTTCTCTAAAACACGTGTTTGAAAATGACATTAAATCAATCTTTAAAATAATGACATGAAAATGAAATTACACATAAAGTTCATGGTTATTTAAAAAATAAAATTATTAATTCACTTTTCATGTAAATTTAACATTATTTGCATTGCTCACAGATGAAATAGGTAAATTTACAACTGTCAATTTTCTGATTTTGTACAAGTACTTTCAAGTTTGGAGTTACATTGTGTATATCGGGTTTCACCGTATGATGCCTCCAACTCATTGTTCATAACATTGTATTTTATATTACAAATAAATAAAATAATAAGGAACATATTTGAATAAGAAATAACTTTTGCCCACAAAGTGTACCACTTCAATTACAACTTGTCCAAATTCAGCAAAAACTTAAAATAATCAATCCCCTAACGTACTTGTTATATTCTCTGAAACCTTATATTATTGTTACATGTAGGTGAACGATAAAATAAAAAAGCGCATATACAAATGTAGATTAGAACGAACACGTGTAAAAAAGTACATGTACCTACAAATGTTTTCGCCTCTATTAAATGTAACTTGATAGAGGGGCGGTAGGAGGGGTGTCATCCCGAACTTCCGAAAATATAAAGCATTATTTCCCAGATCCCGAAAAATCAATGATTAATTCCCGAGTCCCGATAAGGATAAATCCCGAATTCCCGCGAATATAAAGACCCAATCCCGAATTCCCGCAAAAATAAAGACATAATCCCGACGTCCAGAAAAATGTCTTTCCTTCCGCCCCTCTTGATAGGTCTATATTAGCACCATAAACAACCGAATTGATAGGTTTTTATTAGGATAAAGGCCAAATGCTCCACACAACATCTTAAAATTCTTGACATAATCATATTCAAAATCTGTTACATAGATGATCTCTAAATATATTTTAAAAACTCGATGACTTCATCAATCGACATCTGAGCTGAAAATAAAGGGATACATGTATCACAGACACATTTAAGCCTTTTTCATTTCTTGACTTCTTGTCAACAACAACAAAAGAACTTCAATTTTGAAAAATAAATTTTCATTCGCATGTTCAAAATGTAACAACATTCCAGTTATGTAGCACCTGCATATTTATATGTATATCTCTCTCAATTCATACGACATTCCATGCGTTTCCTGTCATTTTAATCTTAACAGAGTGTTCCTGCTTACATGTACGATAAATCTACTGAACCAAGAGTTCGTTAATGTCAAGTTTATTACGTCATCTCCTCAAAGATTTTACGAACCATATCGTGAAAAGGCATCATGATAGCTCCACCCCTTTTCCTCGTACATAACTTATCGCGGAATTTTTAACTTGTCAAGGGTAACATGAGGGCCACCACAAGTGGATCAGGAACTACTTGTCCTTCTAATGGTTCACAAACCGTTGTTTTTTTTATCGTTTCCATGGTATTTGTCTGTTTCTTTTTACATGATTTTGATATCCATTTGGTGTCTTCGTACTGTTTTTCCTCAATTTCACCGGCTTTACATTTTTTTCGTTAAATCATATTTTTCATGGTGGCTTGTCACGTTTCCATAATTTACACCGAAAACCTTTATTTCTCATTCCTCTTGTTGAACGGTAACTGACTTTATATTTAAAAAAAAAATTAAAACATTTCTTTTAATCTCACTGAGTATCTTAACTTAAAATACGTTTGATCTGTAATAAAGTACATCCAAATGCAAATGAATCTGATATTAATTCAATTAAATTGTATTTAAGAATTTTCTATATTGCAAGTTCGCACATATCAACTTAAAACCCGATTTACTCTTCAAGATCATAGTTTGCAAAAGATCTTGTCAAAATCAAATCTTTATGGTCACTTAAATACAGTGGGCGCGATAAACAAAATTTGCATACACTTTCACAAACAATAATGTACATGACATTGGTATTTAAGAATAATACCTATGTTTCTATGTGAAAAACATCATTGTGCATTTAACGAAAAGGGATAAAGAGCGCACTACAATTCATTTTGTAAATGTGCTTGGTATTGCACCACTGATTTTAAATAATGGGGTTCAAATTCGCTTTTATCCGCGGAGGTTTTGAAATGTGCTGTTAAATATATTTAAGATTTTCTATTGAGTGTTTTATTAATTACAGAGGATTAAAAAAATAAGAATATAATATTTAGTGTATTGGTTGTTTAAAGTGTATTGATTAATTTCATTTTTCGCGTTGGGAGTCTCATTTAATTATTAAAAATCCGTAATATAAACCAGAAGTAATGTTCAGACTCATTAACTGTGATTTTGATTCTGATCATAATATACAATGAAAAAAGCAAACTTCATAATTTGTGAAACTGGCGTGTTATTTTTCTGATTCTGAAAAAGGAACAGAATCATATTCACGCCTTTTAATTTGAAAGAAATGAAATTTTACGACAAACTGGTGGACATTATAATTCTCCTCTTCATCGTCATAATTTCTTCTACTGGTAAGTACTTTTTATCGATTATTTCAAAACGTTTTTACGTATTTATACATCCCTGTATTTCAACTGTGTATGTTAGAGCGTTCTTGGTGATGGTAAATCAAGAAAGGCGTCTCGAACACAATGTATTAGTTTTATTAGCATTTTTAACAAACTACATGGATTAGTTCTACTATAATTTGGATATATGTTTAATATTTGCAAATGGACGTTATGCAACAAATAAACAATGCATAAATTTTGTATTAATTACATGCATAAATGATGTACAAATTTGATTTATTCTGAGTGTTTCTTGACAATTTGTGAACTTGCATCGCTTTATTTGTAAAAATAAAACTTTAAAATGAAGAGTTAAAAGTATTTATTCAATGATTGTTCGTTACGCATTCTATTTACATCGAATTTACGAACGCTAGACATGTTAGAATTTATTTTATTCATTATTTTCCGTTACGCATTCTAAAAGGAACAATATCATTTCAATTGCTAAATGTTTCTAAACTATTGAAATAGGAGGGATTGGGTGAATTTGAACAAACACTTAAAAACTTCGAATACGTTGAATACTAGAAAGCAGTTAATATATCAAATAAAATCTTATCATTTACGTGAAGGTCTTTAACAAGTGACCAACAAATCTTCCACCATAGTGTACACCACGACTAATAGGAAATATGCAAATAATACAAATGATAGTAAAATTTTGGCCGTGTTATCCGGTGGTCATTTGACCTTTAATTTCATGATTTTTGCTTAGTAGCAAGCGCATCTTATACAACAACACAATTGTAAAGAAATAACTTTGAAAAATCTTTAGATATATGCTTTATAACTTTCTAATTGGTGCCTTACTATTGTTGAACAATTAGTCGTTGATTTATTTTCAGTTCTTTGAAATTTCCAGAATACGATATAGGTCCCTTTAGTTTGGTTATTTGTCCAGTGTGCTTTGGAAAGCCATAGAACTAGTAATATAAGCTATCTTTGAACCAATGTCTATGGATCAGATACATTTATTTGCATGTTGTCTAAATTGTCATTAACATGCATGAAATATTTGCCACTGGACGTAAAGCAAACAACAATCATTTTCTTAGAGAGAACTATTCTTTGCATTAATTTGACTTCCTGTCCCTTTTGTAGCAGATCTCTGTAAGCAATCTTTCGGAGTACAGCTGCTGATATATTAATGAAAGACGGTATGATTTCACATTAGCAAGTTTCCCGTTGGAATGTTTTTTCTATTCAAACGTGAACAAAGATGCATGGCTTATATTTGAATATTTTTTGTTCTGCTTTATAAAACTTTGATACAATGTTGTTTATAGCCGTTTATCACATTTGAGTTACCAAATGATAACATGAATATTGAAAGTTAAAAACAATTTTTGTCATATTTTGGATATTTTAATAACGTACAATAAAAAGTCGGTACAGAAAACGCATTTTTCGCTTTGTAATACAAGCACAAAAGATAATTAAAAATTATGTACAAGCAAATTTAACTCCATAGCTTACTGATAACTAAAACTAATTATTCGCCGGGGCTCGGAAAAGAACGTCTTAGACGAGGATATGATTTCATAAAATTCACTTATTTCTAATGACAAATTACCTCATCGTAATCAATGGAAATAAATTGTATAAATCTTTTTTCATTTTGTCACGTAAAGATAAATTCACAATGGCAAATTCAGAAAATAAAAAAATATCGAATTTCCGATTTATGTGCATGTATTGTCTGGTTAAAAGAAACTTTATTGCTCGACTAACTTTCTTGCATTCAAAAACAAATGAAACTATACATAATGCATCTTCAAAAGACAGATGAATTGTTATTGTGATTTAAATATCTAAAACATTGTTAAAACGTGCATTATATGACATTATTCCATTGATTGAAGAATTGCCTTCACAGTTAAATGGTTATCGAATACTTTGGTACAAAATTTAATCAAAATGCAGATAATTAACGAGTTTTAAAAGTTTTATACTTTCTAACTTTAGTGTTAGGAATACTTGCTTGAATTTCTTCATTTACTTATAGTTACTATGGTTTGTGTCTTTTACATCTGAGACCAATATGTTTTTCGTTTTTTGCCATGGCATTGTCATTTCGTTTTCTTCCTTCTACACCTTTTGTCTGGCGGAATTGTAGAGGGCTGATTTCTGATAAGAACATATTTTGTCGCTATTATCTCTCACCGGTACATTCAAAATTCAACGATAACCTTAAATCGAACAACTGCGGGTTTTACCTACATGTACCGGAGTGCTTACGTATATCAATCTAATCGGTCCTGAAAAATATAAATATCATGTAAAATAAGGAGATATGGTATGATTGCCAATTGACAACTATCCACCAGAGTTCAAATAAGTTGATGTTAGCAATTATAGCAACCCTACGGCATTCAATAATGTGGAAAACCCATACCCTATAGTCGGCTATAAAAGGCCCAGATATGAAAATTGTCGAACAATTCAAACTAGAAAACTAACGTCCTAATTATTTATCTTCAAATTCACCTACATCAATTTCGCTTTTTATTTTTAGACTATTCAGTTTATGTACTACTTAAAACAAATTATTATCAATAATTTTTATTTTGCATATACATTTTGTACTTAGTAAGTGTTAGTGTAGTTATTTATCCAATCTTTAATCATATTAATCTAAAATACGTTTCAAATTTGGATCGATAAGAATATTTCTTTTCATTTTCTCATAAGCCCATTACATAGGTACAAATAACAAAACTATTTCCTTAATCGCTTAATCGTGTTTGAACTTTGTTTAAAAGATTAAATTGGTGGGAATAGAATAAATGCTAGTCATCAGATCTTGAAAGCGCAGCAAGGTTTATTCATGTTTTATAGGTGTTGATGGTGATAGATTGCTGTTTAACGTCCAACTGCAAATAAAATAAAATTTTAATATTCAGGACGAGAACATTTTAATGCTATCTGATTATGAACATTGCGTTTTACCAGACAGACACGCTAAGCCGGATACTAAACATGCTAGTTTACAATGTAACAGTCCACAGGACGACTTGTCACCCTATCAGGACACGTTATTTTGACTTTGAACTGACTAGTCCTTTCTCCTGCTCCTTAATGCCGTGTGCTATGCGGACAACTAGAACTTACATTGTACCAGTTTTAATATCTTTGGTTTGACCCGGCCGGGGATCGAACCCACGACCCCTCGCAATCGAGGCGGGTATGATAGCTACCACGAGACAACCGGTTTTTTTTTTATATGGTAAAAGTGCTTGCATATAAAAGATGTGGTATCCTACATTTTTAGTTAGCTACGTGCAATTAAAAAGCTTATAAAATCTATCTCAATAAACAAAATAGGTGAATTAAATGCAAATAATGTTAAGAAAACATGCAGTAATTTTTGAAGTTTAGAAAATTAAACGAAAAAGCAAAATTCCTTTTTAAATCTCCAAAATTTAACTCCACATATACTTCTAATTTCAAATATGGTATTTTCCCCTTTTTATTAACAATTTGAGAATAGTTTCTCTATGCATCTTTCCTCCACTTTGTCCGTTGAATGATACAATTTCTTACCGGTTTTTACCGGACCTATAAATATTGCTCCCTTAACTGACATTTAGTTATCGAATGATGAATTCAACGGTCAGTGGTAAATATTGAAAAACTGCATATTCAGGAAAATCAACATATCCATTAATTAATACAGCTGGATATTTGGAATTAGCAGGGGCGGACAAAATTGATTTCTACTGGTAAGTTAGGAATTTTGGTTGATTCAGTCTTTGTATTGGCTGAAAGGTGAACAAGTTGGAAAATTTGGTTGACTTAGTAATTTGTATTGACTCAAGGGTGGATTACTTACTCTTTTCAAACACTTTAATGTGAATGTTAAGTTGTCAATGTGGCACGTAAACTCCTTTCTGATCTTAGAAGTCCAAATGACCATATATAAATTTTGTACATTGTAACTTAACATGCACCAGCTAGCTACCCGTGAGGGTTCTTTATTTAGACATTTACATTGATGATGGTGAAAACGATATTATTATGTGAAAAAATGCAAAAAAAAGGTACATGTATATGTATTAAAGCTATGACTGAGTAAATGTCAAATTTAATTTTAGGTATAAATTGAAAAAAAAGGTCAAATCAAAACAAAAGCGGACAAAACTGCTTTTTCCGTTATCGTGTTACTTTACATTTTACAAAAAAAATGAATTAAATTAATACTTGTAACTACTTTTAAATAACAATTCACTGGGTAATTCCCCTGGTTATCCAGTGAGTACTTCAAAGGGATAATCGGCCAACTGCTGTTGGTCGAGTAATTTTTCGTAACGGCAAAGAAAAGTCCAATAAAGATATTTTAGATGAAAAAATAAGTTCTGAGGCACACACCAATGAATGATCCTTGTATACTTATTTGTAATACTATATTTGAATTGTCATTATATATCATATGTTTGTTTAGGTGTATATCACACAATTTGATCAGGATATACATAAGGTACAAACAAATAAACAAAAATATGTGTTAACAACATATTGTCTGAGGTGTTTAGTTTATTTCATGGGTCATAAACACACGAGTTCCTCATAAAATACTGTCATTGATAAAACTGACAAGTGACATAGATACTCGATTTCTCTAGAGCACATTTAAAAGTTGATGTGGTATAAACAATTGTTTACTTAACTGAGTACTCATTGACAAAGTATTGTTGTCTCACTTACATTATCTTACATCTTTCTTTGTCATATAAACAAAAAACAAAAACAAATTATAACAAAAAAAAACATGTTTCAATTTAGTCATTCATATCAAAACTGTAAAGTATGGAGGCTAATGGATTTTTATGAATAAGATAGCAAGACAGCCATCAATACAACGGGAACTCACGAGAGACAACGGGAACTCACAAGAGACAACGGTAACTCACGAGAGACTATGAAAGATCTGCTATCATATTATTAGAAAATGACATTTT